CGAATATGAATTTGTGCTTAAATCAATCATAAACATTAGCATGAAATTTTTAGATGACTATATTTAACTTGTAAGAGTCATGAGGATTGGAATAAATACATTGATGATAACATCAAGTTCCTTACACTTGTTGTAAATCACCTTTGAATACCAAGAACTTGTAAGTATAACTTGTTTGTAAGCAACAAGAAGAGTATGAAGGACATGACTTCGTTCTAAAGCTATGATAAATCCTCACTGATTCATGAAAGCTATGACGAATGGGATGCGAGCTGCCACTCATAATATGGGAACTTTATAGAGGATGCAACGACACACTAGTAATCAAAGACATGAAGATTTTTCAATCAACATTAAGAGATTACCAAATGCACAACAAACGCCACATCCTATAATTTATGTAACATGAAGTCAAATACAACACATCTTGCAAGAAATGAATGAGATGAATACATGTGTCTTATATAGCAAGAGACCAAGGTGGGATGAATGTAATAATGCTCCCCAACTAGTGTCATGATACGAATAAAGGCATTCAACCCCACAAGAAATATAAATCAAGAAGGAATACACAGTTTGATTGCAGTTAAGCGTGCAAGAATTCTCAGCGAGTACAAGAAGCATCATGACTTCCCTTTAGTCAATGATAGTCGACTCGTAAATAAATATCATGGCTTCCTACACATATTGAAGGTCATTACAATGAATATTATGATATGATTGATGGATGTGTGAGAAAGATATCAACAATGAATGTAACTCATTCAGCAGTCAACCTCACTTCATAGATGAGCTCATTCATCTACCTGCAGGCAATGGTGATGGATTTGTAATGAATACAACACGCGCATGATGACTTAATTTGTCAAAAGGCAAGAATGAAGGAGGTAAATAACATTTCTATCATCAACAATGATTCCACTCCAAGAAAACACATCAATCCCCTACAAGCAAAATGGTCCAACGGCACTGTCAAAGAACCAATCCACATTCAACGTGATAGGCATACCAGGAGATCTGTTATGCATATAACATGCTATTTATGAGCAAGTATCAAAGAAACACAATAGATGTCAACATCTACATGCAAAGCAGGAGACTAGTTAGTGCACTATAATCCATCTACAGAAAAGAGATAAGTAGTGCAAGATAGTCTACCTGTACAAAGCAGCAAATAATTCAACCCCCAAGCTGCTACGCCATGCCACAGGACCCGTAACATCCTTGTAAGCGAAATAAAGGCATTTCACAAATATTTCAAAAATGCCCCCCGCACATGCACCATAATTTGTAAACACATAGGTACATGAAATGGGTAAATACAATTATTACCCGCATGGGCCCTAGCGAGCGTATTATTAGTACACACGTGACGTCTAGGGATGATGCGTGGGTCAACAAATTTGAACTCAATCCTTTCAAGTAGGTAAAAAGATGCCGATAGGGTTTAATTATAAAATGCTCCTAAATACCCCCATGGGCTCCAGCGAGCGTGTTATTAGTACACATGTGACATTTAGAGATGCTCCATGGGTTATTAAATTTGAACCTGATTTTTCTAAGCAGGTAAATATGAGTCGATAAGGTTCAATAAATAACTATAAAATTCCCCCAAGCACTCATAAGCATATTATTGATATACACGTGACGTCTAGGGATGCTGCGCGGGTCAATAAAGTTGAACCCGATCCTCCTAAGCAGGTAGGTAGGAAATAAGGTTCAACAAATAATTATAAAATACCCCAAACACCCGTATGGGACCCAGCGAGCGTGTTATTGGTACACACTTGACGTCTAGGGATACTGTGCTGGTCAATAAGTGAATTCAAGTTCGAACCCGATCCTTCTATATGGATTAATAGAAATCGATAGGGTTCGAATATTTAAACAAATATACGGTTGTGTTGTCTGGTGTATTTATTTTAATACATGCATATTAGATCTTCAAGACTTATAATCAAAACAATTCACTAACAAAGACATAAAGCCTACAAAATCTGATCATATATCCTGAGTATATAAATAGGAGTAGACATTGTTCGAACCATCAGATAAATATACAGTCACGAAATTGACTGGAATATTTATTTTATACATTCATATTAGGCGCCCTTCAAGGCCTTTGATAAAAAAAATTCACTAACAAAGGTATAAAGCCTACATAACCCAATCCTCTATTGACAGCTTGACAGAGTTGACAAGGTTTATCTATAAAATGCAAATATTAATAAATGGAAATGATCTCAAGATCACCCCGATGATGGATGTGTTGAATGAAAATCTTAACTGGAGGGGTTCACAAATATTTTCAAATGTCACTATACTACTAAAAAAATCCATAAATCTTAAATCCAAAATTTTTAAAATTGAAATTAAACCATCCAATCACTTAAAGTAAAAATCCATCCACCCTCCGCAATAGTTTGTCGAGGTGAACAAATTAAAGTTTACTTCAGCTCACATTGAGCTAATGCCTAGTCAAAAATATCACTTTGATCCATTCTCAAATAATCTCTTGCCAATAAGGACGTGGTACGTGTCCTCTAACCCGCAATTTTACCGCCAAATGACATCACGAAATATCGGTTATGGCCAGAGCCAATATGTTTCTTAGTGGCATCAAATCCTTGAGACATGAATCAATAGATATGATCGATAGGGCACAAAACCCTCTGTTAGCTAAGGCGGTTTCAAATTTGTCCCCTTAGATAAACATCCAACCTAGGTCTACAAGGTACCCTTGGACAAAGTAAGCCATGGCTGCCGACAATGATCCTTCTGTCAGGTTGGGCTGACTACCTCCTCTGACTAAGTAGACCAGGGACCACGATGGCCCGGGACGACAGAACCATGGGATCTTGATCGTATCCATCATCTATTCTCCCACCATCTGCTTTAAGTGAATCGAAGATGATGAAATTTCCCATTTTAAATATCAAACCTTTCCAAATGCCCAAATTCAAATCCAATTTCCCAAATCCAAAGTCTATTGCTGCTACTATATACCACATAACACGTATTATCTACATATCTGATTGACGACTAACCTTAATCGAAAGTTCTCTCTCATGATTGGGAGGGGTAATTAACTATAGGGGCTTGTGCCTATAGGAAACCAGAATTCAGATCATAAATTCTTCGCAAAATGAGGGCGAAATCTCTGGGTAGTGTCTTATCTACAAACTCATCTGTCTTCCAAAATTTACCCCGTAACTTAATTCCGTTAAAACTCCTTGCCGAATAAAAAGAAATGCGGGCGGAGGCTGGGGTCGAATTTTCGAAGCCCACATAAATATTAAAAATAATATTGTCAAAATCCAAGCAATAGATCTCACCTATAACAAATTCATAGTTTGATATTCTCCTTCCCTCATTAAATAAAAGTTTTTGACAAATAATATCATACTCTTAACTCATTTATCATAAAAAGAAAGTTAATTTTTTTATAGCAATGCTCTTAATTTAGTGAGTTTGTCATTTGCAAACCTAAGCTTCTCCATTAAGTGGCTTGTTTAGGATCCTAGATCCTAATCAAAGCATTTTGAGCTGATTAACAATAAAAAATAAGAAAAAAAGAGAGCTCAACATCCTCTTTAATATTACAAATAGATTTTGCCTAGCACCTAGTCAAACACTTTACCTAGGAATTCAACTATCAAAATAATAATATGAGTTATCTATTGCTCTTAGTCCAAGTAGTCTTAAGCTTTACAAGAATAATTTTCTATTAGATGCTTTTCATTCTTCTCTTTCACCACCTTTAGTCAAATTAAGAACAATAGTCCCATTACCGGTCATTTATCTCTGCCTAAAAATCCTCTTGCATTTGATATCTTAAGATCTCAACCAAATTGAACTGCTATGACAGAAGGTGCTCCTCTTCATATTAAATGGCTTTGGTTTTTATTCAACATCAAGCACATTTTATGAAAATGTGCGTGTTTTAAATTTAAATTAGCTTAAGGAGCATGTTAACAAAAGAGTTTTAAAAAGAACAAATACGAAACTTAATTATCTAGTTTTAATAGAAATCCGGAACTTCATTATCCGGTTTCTACATTGACCGGAAATCAAATTTTACTTTCCCGTTTCTATAAATTCTAAATTTTTTTTTCTTATACAATATTAGATTTCTTAAATATTTAATAAAAATTAAATTTAAATTCAAAAATATACTTATAAGTTATAATTAAAAAATTAATATAAGACAACAAATTTAAACATAATCAATTAATTAATATGCAATGTGTTTATAAAAATTAAAACATAATTTCATTTATTTTTATAATAATGCTATCATTCAAATTAAAAATTAGTTTCTTAAAAAAATGGACAATGAAATTCTTGTTTCTTTTTTTTTTTTTTTTTTTAGATAAAACCCCGCAGAAGAGGCCTACGTGTTAATTATCAAAAAACGATTACAAGGTCCTTAGAAGGCCCCTCGAGCCCACTATGCTCTAACGAGCTACAATCAAAACGAAAAAAAAAACCATCCTACGAGCATGAGGGTCCTTTTTCTAAAATTACAATAACTCAGCAAATAGAAAATTCTTGTTTCTTAATAAACCAGAATTTATTAAACTGATTTCTTGAAGAAACCGTAATTTCTTGTTCCAGTTTCTTTTAAAATTGAGGTCAAAGTATAAACCAGATAATGAAGTTCTGATTTCTATTGAAATCAGATCAGATAATTAAATTCTGTATTTTCTCCTTTTTAAAAAAATTTTGTGAACATACTCCTTAAGTTAATTTAAATTTTAAACACGCACTTTTTTATAAAATGCCCGACTTTGAAACTATTTAATTGTTTGGAGGGCCTGAAGATTCTAAATTTTAGTTTTAGTTAGTATTTAATATTATTATTTTAAATCTGAAAATAAATAATTATATTTTTTAAATAATTAATTAACTATTCTTCTTTCTCTCAATGGATTAAGAAAATACAAAAAAGAAAAGACTTATCATTAAAATAAAACATACATTTATGCATACCTCAACAAAACAACAAACAGTTCTCATTTGAAAATGCTAGCAAGACAGCACAAATCAAAGCAGCATGTGCATTCCAATGAAATTATTTAGAGATATATATATAGAGAGAGAGAGAGCACGTGCTTATTTTCCCCTTTCCAAATGCTTATTTTCTCCCTTGGCAAATTGGATTATCCTCTTCAAATTCTCAAACGAAGACCCTCCTTCCTCCATGGCCTTCCTCGCCTTCTCTGCCAACTCCCTCACCCTCTTCCTCCTCTCATCCCCTTCTTCCCCTCCTTGCATCACCTTCTCCACCACCTTCCTCACCTCTTCCCCCTTCACCAACGCTTTCTCACTCATCTCATTCACAAACAAAGTTGGTACCTTTGCCCCAACCGCTACCCCAATTCTCAAAACATCAACCACCAATCTCTCATTCACAAACTGGTCTCCAAATCTCGGCCATGTCGCCATCACCACTCCACCTGCAATTGCCTCCAACGTCGAGTTCCACCCACAGTGTGTCATAAATCCGCCCACTGCCAAATGGCCAAGAATCACCGCTTGTGGCGCCCATCCTCTGATCACCATCCCCCTTCCTTTCGTTCTTTCCTCAAACTCCGCCAACCAATTCTCGACTTCCTCGCTCCTTTCCGCCTCTTTCACCACCCAAATAAATGACAACTGTGAAGATGATGCTGACTCAAGCGCTTGCCCGATCTGCACCAACTGGGAGATGGGATTGCGTGACAAGCTCCCAAAGCTGACAAACATGACTGAGTTGGGCGCCTTGGAATCCAGCCAGCTCAATAACAATCTCGTGTCGATGGAACAAGCTTTCCCTCTCATGGCCATGCTGTCCAAGTCCTTGTTGGAGAGTGACAATGGCCCAATAGGCCATACCTGTTGGAATGAGAAATGGATGGTTCGAATCATTGTGATGGTGACATTAATTTATTAATTTCAGTGAAGAATTCAAATTTATAAGCCGACAAGCTATAACCATGCAATCAACAGTTTACTTTTCTAGACGACAATTTCATATAAAAGTATCATTCATGGTTAAGTTTTTAAGAAGATTTGAGCATGGAATCATCAAAGAGATCCAATAGTTGAGGACTGAGAATTTCTTAATTATAATTCTGACTAATCAGTAGAAATTTGGAGCAAAATATACCTCCTTCATAATCTCTTTCCTGAATTTATCCAAACCCGACATCTCCAACTCCTCAAAGGTGTTCATCACAACGCAGCATGCCGACTTCTCGGTCTTGTAAAACTCCTCGCTTACCTTCTCCCAGCCCGGCCTATCCATCAACCTCATCACGTGCGCCTTCATCACCTCCACAGGCTCCGGCAACCCCGGAACCTTAAACAGTTTATAATCATCTTCAATGCTTTTCAGCACCTGATACTTCTTCAAAAGATGGGAGCATAGTATATAGAAACAGGATGGTCCGTAGAAGATTATGTGAGGTATGCCAAGGCTCTCAGCCACCGCACCAACCCACGAGTTCTTGCTGTCGAAGATAATGCAGTCTACCGGCATTGTCGTCGGATTTTTAGTAGTGAGGTAAAGCTTGACTTGCTCTCCGAAAATGGAGAGGGCTTCCATGAAGGGTTTGTGGAGGCCAGGGGAGGAGATGAGGTCAACATTTTCGCAGCCAGCGGGGAGGCCAGCTTCGGCGGAGGGGAAGGGGAGTTGGACAAAGCGGACGGGGAGATGGGAGTTCTCGATCCGGTCAATAATAGGGCGAATGCGGGCAGCATTGACTGGGGTGGTGATAAACGTGACGACGGCGCCGGAGGAGGCGAGGAGGCTGGCCATGTCGGCCATGGGGATCATGTGGCCTTGGGCCATGTAAGGGATTAGTATGATATGGACCATGTTGGTGTCGGAGTTGTGGTTGGATAGCCCGTTCATGGTGGTTAATTATCTACAATAATGAGAAAGAAGACTGCTATTTATAGGCTAAAGGTCGGTCTTTCTTTGAACTGTTTGGAGTAGTTTGAAATATTAATTGAGGAATATGAGTGGGAAAGTGGGCTTTGAGTAGAGTCTTTTGCTTGTGCTTCAGTCAATTAGGATAGGATGTCAAACATTGTTGATCAACATCTTAAGCAAAAGTAAACTGCTTGTTGAGTGCAGTTTTAATGGAGAGATTATTAAGTGCATAGTTTGGGTTGATGTTGCGTCTAATTTTTGTGAGTGTGTGCAGCAAATTAAAGTGTATTAGTGAACCGTAACTACGCTTTTGCTCCGCATACTTACAAAAACCGGACGGTTCTCATATACAGACTCCGCACATAATAATCTCTCGTTTTAATGAGAGCAATAGATTTAGTTCCTACTGGTTAATATCATATACACAAACTTCAAAGCAAGAACTCTAGGTTGATAGCCAAAGCTCCCAACTAAAATAGATGAAGATGAGCTGCGTGCTTCATTTATTGCATGGCCTTTTGTTATACTTAGGAAACTTTTAAGATAATATTATGTTTTATTTCTTTAAATATTTTTGTTTTGTGTTTTTTTTTAATTATTTCCCTAATTTTAAAAAGCAAATTAAGTTATTTTTAAGATTATTTTAGTGCTTCTAGAAATAATTATCACTATCATCACCACCATCATCGTTGCAACCGGTGAAAACCGCCACCATGATCACCCATGCATCCGCCGCCATATAAATCAACTAAAGTACCTTTTTTAATTCTATCCCATATCAAAATATAAATAAAATAAATAATAAACAATAAATAATTAAAACAAAAAAACAAAACAAAAATATATTAGTCAGATGAAACAATCAAATTTGATTTGATCAAAAGAAGTTTACTTTCAAGTCAGCCCACTCTTTCATAGTTTTGATCAAGTTCGAAGCTTGATCTACTAATATATTTTTCTTCTATCAAACTCTCATTGTTTTGGTTGCAAGACTTCAAATGCATTGAAATGATAGATCAATTTTTAGATAAGATATAAAAATTATAAATATGCAAGATTTTGATGGCACGAATGTAATTCTTCTAATTTTATAAGAGAATAAATCCCTAATATTTTATTATATTAAAAGAACACAAAACCAATTAAAAATAAATTAGCGTGAGATTAGATACATATGACTTGTCACACTAGAGCTAGAGCTTTTTCTCAAAGGGAAGGAAGAATTCATTTTAAGGCTAACATATACGGACGCATGTTTAAAATATTTCATCTCATGATATAAAGGGCATATGTGTGGGGGTTAATAGTGAAATTATTCTGTGCGGATATGGACGTCGTCCGGAGGCAAATCAGAATCCGCCAAGACATTTTTTTGCTGTGTACCGTGGATGTGTACTGATGTGTACCGGGTGACGTAGCACGTTATGATTAACCTCCGGATGATTCGGTGTCCGCAAAGAATAATTTTTCGGGTTAGCAAGCCATTAAATTTCACCATTAGTGCATTTGAATATGTACTTTGACTATGTGTCTACACTCCTTAATAGCTCAACCATATTTTCATGCCCACCTAATTCCCTTTGGTGGTTGGGCACTTAGCTTTCCTTCATAAGGGTGCAAGTTTGAAGCTATGTGATTTTGAATTTTTGCTCCATATTGTAAAAGCATGATTTCTATATAATCAAGCTTACATAGATTAAGAGTCAATTTCAAGACACAATATTAATATAACAACTAAACGAGAAAACAAAATAAATTTATATTTTTTAGATGGGAGTTCTCCATACATATTTATTAATGTTGGGAAAAAATAATTTTATAATTTTGTTTTGATATGATTGAATTGTGCGAAATATAGGCTAAATTTTAATGCAAAGATGTCTCTTAACATACTAATATTTATTCATAAATTTTTAAGATTGTATGATTGTCCAAAGTGTTGCAACCTTATCTAGGTTGGTGAGTAGGATAAATTATTACGTGTGGAAACCGGGCACACAGAACCGTCCTGTCTGTCTCTATAAACAATAAAATCGTAGTGGCGCACTTTTAATGTTCATAGAGATAAAGTTGAAAGGTTCTATGTGTCTAATCTCAGCACGTAATAATCTCTCAATGAGTAGACACTTTTAGAGTGCATTAAAAGAAAATATTAATAAAATTTTAAACTACAAAAACCAAATGGCTTATATATATATATATATATATATATATAATTTGATGACATTCATGAACGTTCTTGGTATGGATAGATGTAAGTGATAGTAAGCGAAAAATTATAATAAAGCGATCACAACAATAGGTGATGCTTCGCAACTACAAACGATAGTGGCAAGCAGGGGGCAGAGCAACATTAATAGGGGTGACGAGTAGGTGACGAGCAACAACAACGACAAATGACAATGGAAATAGTGGGTAGAGATGAAGGGCAATTGGAGGTTGTGACTTTTAGGAAATGGTAGTTAGTGAAATAGAAAATTTAGAAATCACCTAATTAGAAATTTTTTAAATGCTCAAAAATGAAGAAAATTCAACATTTATATTGAGCTTCTTCCTCATTCAATGGCTCAAAGTCTCTGCCAAGTCAAGGTAATTAAATAATTCATCAACATGCATGATCAAAATCAATCAATAGTGTCTCAAACTTAATTGGCTTTGAATTGTCAATCATAAGTTCAAAAACCTTCAGCATCAGTGGGGTAATGCTAATAATGCTTACTATTTCTCTAATAAAAAATAAGAGCATCATGGGATAATTTTGAAATACTTAAAAAAATATATTAGGCATAGAGATTTGGAGTGGTTGAAATAGTGAAAGCTTGGCCTCACATTAGTGCTTGGTTGTGACTGATTTTTAAATGAATGAATAAAATTAAACACCATTTTAAATTAATTTTATTTATTTTAGATGATTTGATTTTTAAATTAGTTAAATTATTTAATTTTGTTATAAAATGCATATTGTGCTATGGCACAGTGGTTGAGGGCATTCATGACTCTCACGTGGTTCCGCATTCGAGTGGCTCAACCTGACTAAAAAAATACTTTTGTTATAAAATTGAGCAAATTACATAAAGTGAAAAGAAATATGACTTGGTAGTTTTTATCGGATTTTTTAATAAATCAAAATTTAATTAATTTCAACAAAATACAATTATTTTTAATTTAAATAATATTTATTAAAAAGAACACCAAGCAATATTCGATATAATTTTTTTTTGCTTGTGAAATAAATAATATTTACATTGGTTTTTCTATAACTTATTTATTTAGAGTTCACGAATTTCATTAATTAAATATTTAAAAATTAGTATAATTTGATTTTCGTTTGATCTATTTTTCAAAATTTTAATTAATTATTGATAGTTGAACTAATATTTAAGCAATATATATATAAACTGATTTTTTTAACAACTCAATCAAACCCATCAAATAAAGATTAATTCATTTTGATTATTTTTCACTACTTAGCTTTTCAAATAATTGTTACACATCCATTTAACTATTGCTTTCTTCTTATTTTCTATAAATTTTTATTGCATAAAGTTACTTTTCATGATCAAATCTATGTGTGCTAGCTATAAAAAAGCAACTATGAAATTTTTTGGAAAAAAAATATTTATAATACACACAACAACTTTTATTTACAAGAGTTTTACAATCAACATTATAAAATATTGAAACCACCTCAAAGAAACTCTTAATCAAATTGGTTATGGTTGGCAAGCCCAATGTGGGTGTGAGCTTTGCCTTGTTGGTCAATGGTAGGAGCTAGTAGGCTTCCCCAAACACTAAGTTCATCAACCAATAATAACTGTCTAATTAGGACAACTGCCAAAGATGAAATAAAAATGAGAGAGAAATGCACATATTAGAGAAATTTTGAAAAGAACGATGGGTTTTCAAAGGAATTAGTGATGATGATGATGATGGTATCATGCTCAATTAGACATTTGTGGGATTATTATTTTTTTAATAAAATTATTCAAATGAGAGTGGTGGATCCTTCCAGTGTCAAGGCATAATATCTATCCAATTTGTCTAGCAAAGATGGGATTGAAAGCGGCATGCCCCAAAATTTAAATTGAAAAGAATTATATCTTTTATCTTTTAATAATAACAACTAAATTGGTCTAATTTCTCCCAATAATAAAATACCATCGAAAACAAATCTATTGATCATAACATCAATATACATATGTATTCATTTCTCAAAAAATCATATACAATAGCCAGAAGTCATACAAATACAATATATCATCTACCCACTTTTGACTACAAAAGAATAACTAAATGACAAAAAAAATGACAGTAAAACCTGAAAAATCTTGTATCTGAACAGTCTAATACTTTCGATCCTCTTCTCTAGCCTGAAATCAGTAATCACATATAATGAGATAAAAAAATTCAATGGTAACCAAAATCTTATAACTGAACTCAAAGCACATAAAAAAATAGTATGCATGTAATCATTTAATTCGTAATAGTAGCAATCAACATAATCATAAATTTATGTTGAAATAGTAAAACACATATTGAAATAGTGAACTAGGTAAAACAATGTAGTATGGATGTTAAAATTGAAGCAGTAAACAATCATTCTTAAATCATACCTCACAGTAGTACTGTCCTAATATTAAGGAAATCATATAAACCAGTAAAGTGAAAGTACTAAGAAAAACTATCAAAATTCATAGCAATACAATACGATACTATCTAGTACTCGTATATGAGTTTATACATGATATTCAATTATACCAATATCAATATTATTAGCTTATATCACATGCTCAATGATAGGAATCTCGTGCACAGTAATAATAAGTCATTATAATAACATAAACAATAAACTCAGTGCTGTGATAACAAATTAGTATAATGAATGTATCCTAATAATCATACTAAATAAGTAAGGAGTTATAACTTGTATGGAGTTTTCTAGTAATTAGT